GATGAAGGTGTCGTGGTGCCAAGAGTGCAAGCTGTTGACACCATGTCGTCCAAGTACTTATACTTCCGGGGCCCAAAACTTTCCCTGTTGATGCTTGACTCAGCCATGTGTGTCACAATGACTGCTTGACAAGGGTACTCGAACAGTTTGAACAAATCCATCGCTGCAAGCCAGAGATATATATATATATATATCCGTGCGAAGCACAACCAAACTCCGCTCTCCGACAGCCCAAATTTCCCGCATCTCGGAAGCACAAGTGTCAAGGTCTGCCTTGCTGGTTACGAGAAAAGCAACACAAGATGCGTAGCTATTTCAAGAGTCCCTGGCAGGCCCATCCTCTCGAGGGTCCACACTTTCCTTTCTGCGTCGTAACCCGTTGTGGGGCACCATGGAAACCACCGCTGGAAGGCGGCTTTTTTTTTCATGGAGGCGAAGCCCACCACAGGACCGGAAAGCAACTGCTGACTCATAAGCCTCAAGGTGGGCCTTGGCTGCCTTTTGGGCTCACTTCCAACCTCAACCAAGGCAACGCGCAAAGAAGCGAGCTACTCCACTTGGGCCCATCCAAAGTCCTGGCAGGCCTCTGCGTCTCCGACTCTAGGCGGCCAATGTCCGAGTCTGAGCCCTCAGAACGCGGAACGATTTGATTTGCAAGAGCGCTCCTACACTGGAGCCTCCAAGCCCCCCCAAACACCAAGCAAGGGCAAACATGGCAGATCTGATTTCAAAAGTGCACACGGCTCCGTCTGCGCTCCAAGCTCATCTCTCCCTAGCTCGCTAGACCCGTTGAACAAGCTCGCCTCCCTAGCAGCAGCATAGACCTGCGCGGGTGGCACAGCGTCGCCGGGCTGGCCTGGCAAAGGGCCCCCCCCCCGGGCAAGCCAAGTTGCGCAAACACGTAAACTCATCGAAAAGAAGCGGCAAAGAGGTCTTTTGGCAGCGTCTAGATGGCCTATCAAGGAACCCACCCATACCCCGCGATGTTTCTTCCGGGCATTGCTTACTTCCTTTAGATGTTCCTCCTACGCACGCTGAAAAGGGACGGCGGATCACAAAAATACATTTTTTGTGTTCCCCCTGAGAATATCCGCTAAACATGCATCCAACACCTCCTCATGAGCTTCCATCAAAGTCCATCCTTTCCAACCAGCTCACCTCCGTAGCAGCAGCATAGACCTGCGCGGGTGGCACAGCGTCGCCGGGCTGGCCTGGCAAAGGCCCCCCCCCCCGGGCAAGCCAAGTTGCGCAAACATGTAAACTCATCGAAAAGAAGCGGCAAAGAAGTCTTTTGGCAGCGTCTAGATGGCCTATCAAGGAACCCACCCATACCCCGCGATGTTTCTTCCGGGCATTGCTTACTTCCTTTAGATGTTCCTCCTATGCACGCTGAAAAGGGACGGCGGATCACAAAAATACATTTTTTTGTGTTCCCCCTGAGAATATCCGCTAAACATGCATCCAACACCTCCTCATGAGCTTCCATGAAAGTCCATCCTTTCCAACCAGCTCACCTCCGTAGCAGCAGCATAGACCTGCGCGGGTGGCACAGCGTCGCCGGGCTGGCCTGGCAAAGGCCCCCCCCCCCGGGCAAGCCAAGTTGCGCAAACATGTAAACTCATCGAAAAGAAGCGGCAAAGATGTCTTTTAGCAGTGTCTAGATGGCCTATCAAGGAACCCACCCATACCCCGCGATGTTTCTTCCGGGCATTGCTTACTTCCTTTAGATGTTCCTCCTACGCACGCTGAAAAGGGACGGCTAATCACAAAAATGCCTCTTAGAATATCCGCTACACATGCATCCAACACCTCCTCATGAGCTTCCGTCAAAGCCCGTGCTTTCCAACCATCTCACCTCCATAGCAGCAGCAGAGACCTGCGCGGGTGGCACAGCGTCGCCGGGCTGACCTGGCAAGCCAAGTTGCGCAAACACGTAAACTCATCGAAAAGAAGCGGCAAAGAGGTCTTTTGGCAGTGTCTAGATGGCCTGTCAAGGAACCCATCCATACCCCGCGATGTTTCTCCGGGGCATTGCTTACTTCCTTTAGATGTTCCTCCTACGCACGCTGAAAAGGGACGGCTAATCACAAAAATGCCTCTTAGAATATCCGCTACACATGCATCCAACACCTCCTCATGAGCTTCCGTCAAAGCCCGTGCTTTCCAACCATCTCACCTCCGTAGCAGCAGCAGAGACCTGCGCGGGTGGCACAGCGTCGCCGGGCTGACCTGGCAAGCCAAGTTGCGCAAACACGTAAACTCATCGAAAAGAAGCGGCAAAGAGGTCTTTTGGCAGTGTCTAGATGGCCTGTCAAGGAACCCATCCATACCCCGCGATGTTTCTCCGGGGCTTTGCTTGCTTCCTTTAGATGTTGCTCCTACGCACGCTGAAAAGGGACGGCTGATCACAAAAATGCATTTTTGTGTTCCCTCTTAGAATATCCGCTAAACCTGCGTCCAACACCTCCTCCTGAGCTTCCATCAAAGTCCATGGCGGATCAGGCTCAAAGAAGAACTGCCATGTCTTGGATCACGCACATCTAAAAACAGAGGGACAAAGTCATGGCTGCCAAACAAACGCACGAGGTTAAGAGAGCCCTTCACTCCGACTCCACGCAAATATACTTGGGTTTGTGTCTAAGTCTGAGTCTCATGCAATCCAAAACAAATCGGGCAAATAACCTACTTGCGTTTCTCTCTAAGTCTAAGTCTCATGGAAAACAACTCGTTCAGCTACATTGGTGCGGCGAAAAGACCCGTTGAACAAGCAAGCCACAAGGACACATGTTACGCTTCATATAATCCAGAGGAACCATCTGCAGCTCTCATGTCCAACGAATATCGGGATCCATGTGCACGCATCCATTCGGGATAGCTGCGCAGTTCGATATTCTCCACGCTCTGCCGAGGAAATGGAACAAGCACAAAGCCCACTTGATGGCAGACCGCTGGCCCAAAATCATGGAACACGATCAAACCTGACTCGCACTTACAACATATGTTGATTTCCACTAAACGAGGATTGACAGATGTCAAAAAAGGCTGAACAAAATCCGACTGCCCGCTCCTGGGTCCCACCAGCTCAGGTTGAGCTCTCAGCCAGCGGGGCAATGCGCAACAGCCGCTCTCCATGGGCCGAGCATTGGCGTGTCGGGGGCTGTGGGACCTAAATGGAACAAGCACAAAGCCCACTTGACGGCAGACCGCTGGCCCAAAATCATGGAGCACGATGAAACCTGACTCGCATTCTTGATTTCCACTAAATGAGGATTGGCAAGTGTCAAAAAAAAATGAACAAAATCCGAATATTCGCTCCCAGGTCCCACTAGCTCAGGTTGAGCTTTCGGCCAGCTGGGCAATGCGCAACAGCCGCGCTCCATGGACCGAGCATTGGCGTGTCGGGGCCTGTGGGGCCTGGCTATTTGGTTGAAAATCGATCGTGCAACTGGAAGTCAGAAGCTTTCAGCCCTCGAAGCACATGCGCTGAATCAGAGGGGGGAACGAGCAATCGTCGGGAAGCTTAAGACAAACAAAGCCCTCAGCGAAGACGCTAATCCTACCTCGACTTTCCTTCGAAAGCTTGGAGCCCAAAGGACAAAGCCGCCTGCCCCAAATGGCTCAGTCGCCTTGTCTCGTGATCTTGCCTACAAGGAGATGTATCCTAACGAGGCGGCCAAGACTCTCAACCAGCGGGAAGCCACTTAGCCACCCGGGAAGCCAACGGAAGCCACTTAGCCACTTAGCCACTCAAGCACCGGGAAGCCTTCAATCATCTTCCCGCATCTTCCCGTAGTCTTCCGTTATCTTCCCGTGGTCTTCCGTCATGTTCCCGTAATTTTCCGTCATCTTCCCGTAGTCTTCCGTCGTCTTTCCGTAGTCTTCCGTTATCTTCCCGTGGTCTTCCGTCATTTTCCCGTCATCTTCCCGTAGTCTTCCGTCAGCTTCCAGTCAGCTTCCCGTAGTCTTCCGTCATCTTCCCGTAGTCTTCCGTCATCTTCCCGTAGTCTTCCGTTGTATCTTCCCGTGGTCTTCCGTCATGTTCCCGTAATCTTCCGTCATCTTCCCGTAGTCTTCCGTCGTCTTTCCGTAGTCTTCCGTTATTTTCCCGTGGTCTTCCGTCATTTTCCCGTCATCTTCCCGTAGTCTTCCGTCATCTTCCAGTCTCTTCCGTCATCTTCCCGTAGTCTTCCGTCATCTTCCCGTAGTCTTCCGTTGTCATTTTCCCGTCAGCTTCCCGTAGTCTTCCGTCAGCCACTTAGCCACTTAGCCACTTAGCCACTCAAGCACCGGGAAGCCTTCAATCATCTTCTTGTAGTCTTCCGTTATCTTCCCGTGGTCTTCCCGTAGTCTTCCGTTATCTTCCAGTCATCTTCCCGTAGTCTTCCGCCGTCTTTCCGTAGTCTTCCGTTATCTTCCCGTGGTCTTCCGTCATTTTCCGTCATCTTCCCGCAGTCTTCCGTCATCTTCCAGTCAGCTTCCCGTAGTCTTCCGTCATGTTCCCGTAGTCTTCCGTCATTTTCCCGTCATCTTCCCGTAGTCTTCACTTCCGTCATCTTTCCGTAGTCTTCCGTTATCTTCCCGTGGTATTCCCGTAGTCTTCCGTCATCTTCCCGTAGTCTTCCGTCCTCTTCCCGTGGTCTTCCGTCATCTTCCCGTAGTCTTCCGTCATCTTCCCGCAGCCAGGGGGAAGCCACTTAGCCACTTAACCACTTAGCCACTGAGCCAACGAGAAGCCACTTAGCCACTTAGCCACTTAGCCACTCAGCCACCGGGAAGCCACTTAGCCACTTAGCCACTCTTAAGAGTGGCTAAGTGGCTAAGTGGCTTCCTTTCAGATCTACCGTGCGCGCGCGCTCAATCAAAAAACGCGCACACACACACACAAACACATGGCTGTGGGTCAAAACCTGTACCCCTGGTGATCATCAAAATGGGTGGTACGTGGGTGTTCATGGAGGCATAATGACTCATGCGCCGGCCGATTTCCCCAACGGTGCAGCCTGATGGAGCTGCACCGCCCAGCCCTTTCGCGCCCACGAACCGCCTGGCTGCTGCTCGCGGGGGCGCGGGTTTTTCTGGGCGGAGGCGAGGTGAAAAAAAATCGAGGCGTCGAGCGAAGTGTCCGGCTCGACTTGGGGTTTTAGAGGTGTTCAAGAGGTTTCTACTTGGCTTTTAGAGGGTTTTTTTGGAGAGGTTTTTAGAGAGAATATTTTTTGGAGAAGTCGGTTTCAGTGGGTTTCCATGTCAGCCACTCACTTTTGGCAGAAAATCTGTAAAAATGGTCGAGACCCGAACCTCCCTCTTGGTGGTTTGGATCCCGGTGCTTTGGAGTGGTCTTCCGGGAGGTTTTTTCCCAACCCTCTAGAAGCAGGTGCCCAGGAGTTCACGTCCGAATCCACTCCAATCCCAAGCACCAAGGGAAACCGGATAATGTTGACCCCGGATTAATAAACCCCGGTATATTAGTATGGGGGTGTTCCCCTCCAAAAGTGATAAGTCCCCACCAAAACCGGGGACACCCCCATATTAATAAACCGGGGTTTAATAATCCAGGGTCAACATTACAGGGGCTATGTTTTGAAAGAATGCGACCCTTGTTGGAAACCTGTCCGTTTTCTGATCCCCTGCTGAAAGTGACAAACTTTGAGTGGCTTAAATGGAAACCCAACCACTGATGGCTGAGAGCCAAAAAGAAAAAATCGGAGACCAAAAAAACTGAGCCGTTAAACAAAAAAGGCCTTTCGTCCGCCGGTTGCGATGCGGGGACCAGCACCATCTGTTCCTCCTACCTGCGAGTGGAATGTATCGACCACGGCGCGAACCCACCTCAGATCAATTGCATTCAGCATTGAGCGCATTGCCAGAGTTGGATTAAGGCATGGGGTTTGCCGGGCACTGATGGGAACCTGGATGTTTAACCCCTAGATAACTAATGAAGCGGGTGGCCCAAAACGATAACAAACGCATACGATCTGCTCTCTAAACAGGGGACCCCTCCGAGAGGGGGGTCCGCTGTCCCTGGAGTAGAGACAAGCACCCACCCACCCACCCCGGCCTTTTGTTGAACAAAGCACACATTTAAAGCATGCAAAACTAAAACCCAAATCTCAAAAGGAAGCTCGTCCAGCAATACTAAACAATTGAGCTGGACCATCCGGGCAGGGTGTGCCCCAGCAAAGAGCTGGAAGGTTGTTGCGGCATGAACTCAGATGTTCAGTGACCCTGGAAAAATGGGGAACCCTTTTTGGGGCTTGGACCATTTTTCGTGGGGCAGCCAGGGCAGCCACCATTTTTTTTTTGGAAAAATACTTGGTGCCACTGAACCACTGAGAGGGTGAGGCCGGGCAACCGCTTTCCGAGCCGAAGCCGGGCGAAAACTCCGCCGAGCTCAGGTCTGGCGACCCCAAAGAGCCTCTGCTCTTTGATTGAAACACACGGCCCCTTTGATGGCCCAATTCAATGGTTTAAGTAGTGCTGGACCAGTTTCCTTTTGAGACTTGGGTCTTAATTCGTTCTCCATGTTTGGCGCCCTTCTCTTCTGCTTGTCTTGGGTCTACTAAAACAACACTCACGAGGTCTGTCGAAACCTTGGGACTTCAGCTGGTCAACTTGCAAAGTCAAGGGAACCCGTCACGCGGCATTGGACTCCAAAAGCCAAGGGGTCATCGGATCGGCTGCCTCATTTCTAGAAGTCGAGCTTGACACATTTTAGGATCCATCCATCCGTCCGTCCGTCCATCCATCCATCCATCCATCATCCATGCATCTCATTTTAAAGGGCGTCTCCCCCGAAAAAGATGACAGCGTGCCCAAAAAGACTCCCACCTTACCCCCCCAAACCCAACCTGCTGGCGTCTGTCCGGCCCAGTCGAACCCCCCCAAACGCCCCCCCCCCCTGTCTTTGGTTTACTGAACACTTGATCTCCTGCAACATTTGGCTCAAGGCCCCTTTTGTGTAACATTGCATCATTCATGATCGCGTGAAGCAAAAGAACCTTAGCAGGCCGCTTACAGGATTATCCACAAGACACTCCACCAGGGACAATCCATCCTCCAATCATCCACAGTGGCATATTGGATTCTCTCCGGAATAGATCCAGGGACCAAATCAACGACCTCTACTACCACAGGGTACCAGTTCCCTTCTGGGATAGGCACCTGGGGCAGTGGGCCTCAATTTGCGGTAGCGGAGCGGGTTTTCCGAGAGATCCTAGGGAAGATGGCATCCGATGGAGAAGGCTTCATGGAAGCCTATTCAAGTATGGCCAAAAATCCAGGCTGTACGGAGGAAACACTAATTTATCGATGACCGCCAAGCAGCCGCGGAAAAGTCAGCTGGTTCAGGTATGAAGAACTCGTGGACGACTGGGTGACAATCACAACAATGGAAGCACCCAAGAGAGGACCTCTGCTCAAGAGCAGATTGACCGGAGATGCATATATGTACAAGGCAGTCCTCCAAAACGACCTTTTGCAAGATCCTGATGAAGGAGTCAACTATTTCAAGAACACGCTGAAGAAGTACTTTTTGAAAGGTGCGACCAACGTGTATCTGTACAGGCTCCTCAGTTTCTCCAATCATCGAAGGCAGAACCAAGAGTTCCTCATTTTTACCTCAAAATTCGCAGCATGGATGGACTTGATGCCCGTTTTCACGGCACAGTCCCCAACATTTCGACAATCCGTGCAGGAAGCAAATGCAAGAACAATTGCTCGACATCAGCAAGCAGCCGACACCGCCTCCAGCCCTGCTCAATGAGGATGATCCAGTAGTCCTCAGACAGTATATCCAAGGGGTGCAGGACAGACAGCGGGACGCATTTCCCTTCGCTCATTGCACAGTTTTTCATCATTCAGAGTGAGCTGTCAGATCAGCAAAGAGAGAGACTGACAAGTGCAATGTCACTGAGAAACATCTCACTAGAAAACTAGTCCTATGAGATGCTGAAGACGCACTACCATGAACTCTTCATCACGACGAGGACATCCATCCAAGATCCATCCATCCGACCTCAAGGAGGCAACCGAAGCAACACATTCTTCATCATCGAGCAAGGTGAATATGAAGGAGAAGAAGGCTTCTGGGTTGAGGATGAAGAAGGACTTGAAGGATTCATGTCAAACAACGATGAAGAGACATTCTGGGTCCTCGAGGAGAACGGGCGGAACTTCAAATTCAAGAAGAGAAAAGGAACAGGTAAATCAGGAAACAAAAAGGGCAGTCACCAACGAGGTGGCTTTAAACCTTCAGAAAAAGCGGTTCTGGCGGAAAGGCCAATATGGCCAACGAAAACTATGATCCCTACGACCAGGCATATGGGGGAAAAGGCAAAGGAAAGAAGGGAAAGAAAGGAAAATCAAAATTCCAATATCCCTATGATGGAAACAAGGGTTATCCATCCTATGAGAATGGCAAAGGAAAGAGCGGACAGGAGAAAGGAAAATCCAAGACGTTTGCAGCCACCGCAGAGAAGACGGAGGAGCAGCCCGCCATCCAGCAGACTGCACCATCCATAGAGCCTACCTATGCCGGTTGGACAAACCAAGACTGGGACCAATCATGGACATGGAACGAAGATGGCTGGTACTCATCCCATGAGACATCCAGCACAGGACAAGCGTTAATGGCATTCCATGATGCATATGAGCATCCTGGGAAAAAGGCCATCCACGGGAAGCTGATCCAATCAGATACAGTTTCAGAACACAATCTGTCCGTCACAACAAATCACAGCCTTCTGGCAACAAAGCTGATGGCGCCTGTCATCAACCCCCAGCACAACCCGACCTATGCGATTCTGGACAATGGATGTACCAGATCTATGGGCAGCTGGCATGCAATCCAGCGTTTTACTCAGGCCATCGGACCAATGAAGGACATCATCTCCTATCAGTACATCCCGGCCGAGACCAAGTTCACTTTTGCAAACGGAGAGACCACCAGGGTAAATTGGACCCTGCATCTTCGATATCACACACAACTCCTCCACGCAGTACCAACATCGACGTCCTTGAACTTGGAACTGTACCGATCCTCCTCAGCATCAGCCAGATGCGGAACCTCTACATGACCATCGGGCACACACCTCAATGTGACAAGATCACAGGCAAAGCCTTTGGCATGAACCGTCAAGCAGTTCCAGTATCCGGTACAGGACATGCACTCATAGATCTCGCTGGAGTTGCAAGAGTGAAGGCGCATGGAGAAATTGCTCCCAAGGGCCTCACCAACTATGTCTATGACGATGATAACAGCATCAAGTTTCCCTCCGGGGGTCTCACCAAGAGCGAAACTGTTTGTGCAGCAAAATCATCCGAGACAAAGGAGGACCTAGCAACTCCTAAGATCATTGGGTCTCAAAAGCAGGACCATTGGATCCTTGACAAGGAGAACAAGCAGCTCATCCGTGTGCGCATCACGCCCCGAAAGGCGCTGTTCACACCAAATGGAGCCAAGGAGTGTCCAATCAATCCTGATCACATTAGCCAAGAACGTACTACGAAAATCATTGATGCATCCGCAGGTGGAGATCCAGACATTCTAGAAGACAATTGGAGACTTACATCCCAGGCAAACAAACCAATGATTAACCTGTGGACAGGTAAGACCATTTTCACCTTCGCGGACAATTCGCTTAAGGACGAAGAGCAGGTTCAGGATCGGCAGCAGACAGGATCATCGACAAGCGGGGCCGGTCGACCATTGAGCCAGATCCTTTTACACCATCCTCAGATGAACCAACATCGCTTCCGCTTGCCCTAGGCAGAATCCACAAGCGATTGTCAAATCCCGAAGAGTTGAAGAAACTCCACCTACAGCATCATCACATGACAACAGATCAATTTCGATTTAGAACCCGCGCACTTCATTTGCCGAAATCAACATTCGATCTATTTGACAAAATCCGAAGTGAGTGTGAAGTTTGCCAAGCGGCAAAACATGCACCGTCACGAAGCAAAACAAGTGGACTTCGTGGTGACATGACATTCATTGATCACTGTCAAGTTCCTCTTGGAACAGGAGAACACATCATTGTTTTTGTC